CTTAAAGTTGCCAAGGTTGGACACCCCTGCACTAAACCAAATGCCCCTAAAGAATTAAAATCAATACTCTGCTTATAGCTGAGACGGCACACATTTCAAGCTAAGCTACAGTCTAGACACAGTTTTCCAAAGTAAATCACAACGGGCAGGATTTGCAGATCGCATAAACGCCCGTTATGGATTAACCTAAGGCAGGATCTAAGGCACTATCAAAGAACACTGGAAAATAATTGAACACTAAGTTTATTATGCAACCTAATTACAGATCCACTCAGGCCAATAGTCATCCGTAACACTGCTGGCAGAAACTTCAAAAGTTTTAAGCATCGGAGCTATCTGTTCAACTTCCTATCGCTCCACACATATTATATTTGAGTGGAAAACTGACTTGCCCTTCCCTATATCCAAAGGGGTTAAGTCAGACAAGTCCCCATACAATGACCCAAATTATGGTATTTTTTTTTTTCCATTTCTGCCATTCAATAAATTTAAGCAGTTTCTCAACTCTGGCAACTTTACAACAGATGGGCCTCAATTCCCAGAATTAAGTCCACCTATCTTGAAATTGCCACTGAGAATCAATGCAATAGGTCAGGGGTGTCCAACTTTTAAGATTTATGGACTTCAACTCCCAGAATTCCCTACCCAGCTCTGGAATTCTGGGAACTGAACGTCCCAAAGTCTTAAAGGCTGGACACCCCTGCAATAGAGCATTATTAATCCCACTAATATGAGTCCTTTCATACCCACAGCCTTGCCTTCAAAGCGAGCCAGCAGTCCAAACACAACTTCAGGAAAAGGGCTAGAAGAAACAGCCCCGAATTGAAGGAATCTGATACGAAGGATTGGACCCCTGTGAAAATAGGCATGTAACAGGGGTGAACATAATTCACTGTATCTAAACTACATTCCTAGCTGCAGCCAGCTACTCTTGGAGATGTTTCCGGAAAAACCAGGGGAAGAGAAACGATGTGGGAGAACTCTTAAAACGAAAGAATCCACTATGATGCCGTTATTGCTTGCCCATAAACACGAGGTCTGAATTCACCACATGGTTCGAAGAAGAAATTTTTTTTCTGAGACAGCTGCTTGGAAGCCTTCAGGGGAAGAATGCCTATCACAACCCTCCCACATTTTCAGAAATATGGATAATAATTAAAAAAAAAAAAAAACCAGCCAGCAAATATGTTTCCCAGGGTGAACGTAAAAACACCACAGCTAATTCTACTTTGGGGGGAGGAGGGATGTTTCCAACAATTGTGGGGAGAGACACTTTATATAGAGCAAATAAATATTAATAAATGCAACACAGGGTGTGCCCTTGTAACTCTGGATGGGATCCCAGAATACAATGGAAACATACTTTACAGCTGGGACCAGCTCTGGAGAGCGTGTAGAAGACTAATAATAAAATGTTCTCTTTGCCTTGTGTTAATTTGTGACGTGGTTAAGGCACCAGGCTGGAAACTAGGAGGCTGAGAAGTCTAGTTCTGCCTCAGGTATGAAAGCCAGTTGGGTGATTTTTGGCCAACCACCAGGAGACTGGGAGTTCTAGTCTCGTGTTAGTCATGAAAGATAGTTGGGTGACTTTGGGCCAATCACCAGGAGACTGGGAGTTCTTGCGTTAGGCATGAAAGACGGTTGGGTGACTTTGGGCCAGTCTCTCTCTCTCTCTCTCAGCCCAACCTACCTTACAGGATTGTTGTTATGGGGAATAAAGGAGGCGGAAGGAGGATTAGGTATGCTCGCCCCTGTGAGTTACTTATAAAGACGAGATAAAAATCTAGTAAATCAATAAAATCTAGAGAGGCTGGAGCAATAAAGCATCTGCTTCAACTACCATTTCCTCACTGTGGTTTAATGGTTAACCCTGTTGAACAGCAACCTAAGAAATGCAAACTAGATAACAATGTCATCTTTTGATTGGCAACCCCTTGATAACAAAATTCACATGTGATTGATTGATCCAGTCTGTTGAGGGGCTAACATGCAAGTATTCGTAGCCAAGTTCGCTAGAGAAGGCCCCGATTTTAATATTTTCTGACATCCTTATATAAGCTTATATAACAACATATTCCCTGAAAAAATTAAGCTCTTTTTCTTTCATTCCTTTGCAGATCCAACTATTTCAACGATTAAAAAAACCCCTCACAGCCACACCATGAAGTTAGAAAAGTTTGTTGCAAAGATTGAAACTGGGCAGCAGAATAAAAATTAAGTTGCTGTTTTCAGACTTTGTCACATAACAGTTGGGATGTAACTATTTTTCTTCCATAAAGTAACCAGAGAGGAATAAAATAAAAATATTTCCCACTTTTCATTCAGGAGCTCAAGCCCTTCTTCCTACTTTCCTCCAAACAATTTTTAACTTTCCATGCCAACAAAAATATCAATTTGTCCATTTTTCTATCTTGCTAGAAAAGCCAACGGTGAAATACTTAAAAATGTCCAAGCTAAGAGCCTACCCACAACTCAAATTAATTCCATGCCAGCTCCACACCTAATTTCCCAAATCCAAGACAAATACATCTACAAATACATCAAATACACCTAAAATACAAATCAACCAGCACCAACAATTGCGCACCAAGAAGTCATTTTTGGAAGATTCAGGGGAATGTTCAGAAATGACAACCTAAAATTTTAAAAAAATTAAGACTTGCAGGGAAGAAATGGTGAAATGAAGAATGGACTCTTCGTAATTCAGATTCTCCAGACAAACTGATCTGAGAGTGAGTTTCAAACTGACCAGCTACAAGAATATGGAAAAAAGAGGCTCAGCTGCATAATACGAATGAAAAGTGGTTGATGCTTTCATAATTAAAAGCGATGTACGAATAACAAATCAAAGGCGTTACTTGGATAACTTTCCTATACTGGATTGACCCCCAAAAAAGAAGACGACTCAGTAAAGCTTTGAAGGGCTTTGTGAGAACTTCATTCGATGAGATTACAGATCAAGATTGTTAAAGGGGAAGAATGTAAAAGTTGGTTTATTAGATCAAGTTTAAAATAGACCTGGCGCTCATGACTGATAATTCTTAATGGACTTTTGCTGACATCAAGACCGAAGAACGAAGCTTTTAAGGGTTTGTAAGTAAGCAATGGTGATTCGGAAGGAGAGATCATTTGCTATATTTTAAAAGAAGGTGATAAATTACTAAAATAATTCGTACTGGTGATGAAGAGAGAAGTTATTTCTTTATATATTCTTCTTCCTTTACTCTATCCTTGTTTTTTTCTTTTCTATTCTCTTCCTTTCTTGCAGTTTTTTTTCTTTTTTTATCTTTTTAATTGTAATCGTTTATAAAAAATAAATTAGGAGCACTGAGGAACCACCTTCAGAAGTGAACTAGGCACTCGTGTTGCTCCGATTCCAACATGTAGGAAAGAAAGGCGAGGATTTCCTGACCTGAGAGTGGAACTTGACTTTCCCCTTCCCACGTTCTCCCCCAGATGATGTTCACCCCAACCCTCAATGAGGTACGCTCGCTGCCTCGAGAGATAAAAATCTAATCATCATCATCATTCCCTCTTCCAAGCCAAGTCCACCCTTTTTCACAAAACCTGGGCCTTTCCAAAACAGCCACATTCTTCCCTCTCCTACCCAGGACTTCTCCAGGACAAATGCAACTTCACACCTGTCTCCAACCAGCCCACCGAATTTTTCATCCATGCTTTCATTGCTCCCAGCCACCCAGGGCCCCAGCTCATCCCACCCCCATGTCACTTGCAGCTGAATTAATAGAAGACCCCCTTTTCATGAGTTTGCCCAGCCCTACTAGGTAGTCTAGAGTCTAGAGAAAACACACCCAGGAGAACTCTGTATCTATTGTAAGGTTACCCCAACAGTGTTTATGGAGATTCTTAGTCATACAGATCATGGATTTTCAAGAGGCAACTGGACTTTCTGGTTTTTCTTGGAAAACCTTTCGCTTCTCATTCCAAGAAGCTTCTTCAGCTCTGACCGAAAGGGTGGAGGATGAAAAGATGTATGTTCCTTGCAGTCATCTGGTCATTAGTAGTCTCTCTGAGAATCGCTCAAGCCACTTGGAGGTTCTATGCCCTGAGGGTCACTTGAAATGGATGTGGAGCCTGCTTAGAGCTGTTGAAAGGACTGTGTTGTGGACAGGAGATGGGTGACGTGGTGTCCTTTTCTCTGTTGAGAGAGGGCTGTTCAGTTTGGACACTGATGGCCTCTTTGGCCCCTCTTTCAAACCAGCGGTCCTCTCTGTCCAAAATGTGGACTTTTCTGTCTTCAAAAGAGTGGCCTTTGTCTGAATGCGGATGGACCGCTGAAGCTAGTCCTGATGGGTTTGTTCTCTTGTGTTGTGACACGTGTTTAGGAAGTGGCTGAAGGCTCCACACCCATTTACCCCACTCAGGTGATCCTGAGGACACAGACAAACCCCACCAGGTGGCCTCAAAGACTCACTAAAAGAGGGCATATGACCAGCTGTCTCCAAGGAAAATAAATACTTCCGGTTCCCCACCATCATCCAGTCAAAACTGAAGAAGCTTCTTGGGTGAGAAGCGAAACGTCTTCAAAAGACAAACCAGAAAGTCCAGCTGCCTCTTGGGGAAAATAAAAAAGTATCTTTGGGTTACCCCAACAGAATCATTGCAGGGCCGGAAGTCTTTCTCCCCTCTCCCCTCCATTATTTTGACTCTCCCCAAAACTAGGAGGGTCCCTTCTGAGACGCTTCGACCACCCCCCACCTCAATTCCTGCTTTGGATTCACCTCTGACCCTTGCCCAGCCTATATAGGCTCTTCATCCTACATCCCAAGGTCATTCTCACAAACCCAGGACTTGATTCACACCACCAGCCTCGACCTCCCCCGCAATCCCTTCCTTCCTCCCTCCCTTCCCCTCCCCCAAGCTGGTTTAGCCCCTCATCCCTCCCCCCCCCCCCGCTGGTTTCCCCCCCTCGTTCCCCCCCCCCCGCCCGCCCCCCCCTCCACAAGACTGTTTAACCTCCTCATTACTCCTCCCCAGGCTGGTTGCTTTAACCCCCTCATTACTCCGTCCCCTGCCTACCCCCCAAGGATGTTTGCACCCCCAGGCTGATTTAACCCCATTACTCCCTCCCTGCCTGCCCCCCCCGCAGGCTGCTTAACCCCCACATCCCTTCTTCCCTAGGCTGGTTTAACCCTCACCCCACTTCCAGCTTCAATAGCCCTGGCAGTTCAATTCAGGGCCCCTCCTCCCTATACATGTGATTCCCCCCTCCCCATATTGAATTAGGACGTGCAATCCAATGGTTGGCTTCTTTTGGGGTGGGGGGGGAATAGGTCTCCTGGGCCTGGAGAGGGGAGAATCGGCGGGGGGGGGAGGACGATGGGCGTTGTAGTCCTTGGAGGCTGCTCGCTCTCCCTTCTTCCTCTCCCCCCCTCGCCCCCAATAACCCTCAGCCTTTGGCCAAGCAGTGGCCGCCCTCCCTCCCTCCCTCTCCCCCAGGCGGGAAGGGGCTTGCAGCCCGCAGCCGCCGGACCGGCTTCCCTGCCCGCACAGGCCCGTCTCCCAAGGACCGAGGAGGCCCCGGCTGGAGCGGCGGGGCTCACCTCTCCCTCGTGGCGGCAGCGGCACCGCCGCTGGAGCTGCCGGGCCCCGCGCGCCTCCTTCCCCAGGCCGCCATCTTGGAAAAAGGCTTCGCAAATGTCTCCGCCGAAAGGGGCAGCGGAGGGCGGGGCCCGGCGGAGGGCGGAGAGGGAGATTTCGGAAGCCGCCTCCCGAGGGCCGCCGGGAAACGGAGTCTGGCAGGAGGGAGCTGGGGAACGCCGGGCAACGGCCGCCTCCTCTCGCCCAAACTACAATCTCCAACCATCTTGGCGGCGGCGGCGGCGAAAGGGGCGGGGGAAGGAAAAAGAGTGCGAGCGGTGCCGCCTGGGAAACGGAGTTCCGCCGCAAGGGAAGACGGGGGCAGGAGCGGGAGGGAAAAACTACTTTTCCCAGGGAAGGGCGGGAGAGGTACGGGCCACGTGGGAGGCTCCCCGAGAGCGCGAGGGGCGGGAGGAGAAAAAGATTTTAACCACACTTCGGAGAGCGGACGGGTGGCTTGGCTTGGAGTTCTGGCCCCGCCCACTTGGCGCGGCTCAGCCAATGAGAGCCCGGCACCTCGTTTCTCGGGCTTCGGATTCAGAATGTGGAAAATAAAGAATAAAACGGAATAAAATGGATCTCTGGAGGCTTTGAAGAAGAGACTGGACTGGCATTTGTCAGAAATGGTGTAGGGTCCCCTGCTTGGGCGGGGGTGGGGGTTGGACTAGATGACCTACAGGGTCCGTTTCAACTCTGTTGATCTGAAATAAATGAAAAAAAAATGCCCTTTCCAGTTCAAACAGCCCACATGCCTCCGCTCCGTAGCAACCAGCGCTTTCCATTGCAAAGTTATGGGACTTTTTGGAAGGGGCTTGTGGAAGGAGTCCCACCGGGCGATCATCAAACCAACATCTCGATAAACCATGGTTTGCTGTGGGGAAAAACGACCCAGCACCGAAGGTCACATTAAGCCAGGAAAGAATATGGGAAAGCACCAAGTTAGCACGTAAATCCGGTCACTTCAAGAAGGATGGACTTCAACTCCCAGAATTCTACAGCCAGCATTAGCTTGACCCAGTTTGAATAACCTGCTAACTTCACATATGATGGTTTAACACTGGCTATGAATCTGTCCGAGAAACAGCTTTTTCTGCTGCCTCTGGACCTCAGCTTGAAAAATTGCTCCGTCTAGAATAGACAGACTATAGATAGTTGATAATGATTGATAGATGACTGATAGATGGTGTGTGTGTATGCGTGTGTGTGTGTGTGTGTGAGAGAGAGAGAGAGAGAGAGAGGAGAGGAAGACGAGAGAGGGGGAGGGAGAGAGAAAGAGGAGAGAAAGAGGAGAGAGAAAGAAGGAAGGAAGGAAAGAAAGAAAGAAAAAGAAAGAAAGAACCCTTTAGTCTTTGGCATAAGTGAATCTGTGCACTTTTCCATAGTCTTACCAGTCCCAACCCCAACAAATCAAGTGATCTTTAGTGACCAAACCACTTAGCCACACTTTTAAAAACTGTATTTCATGCAACAGGGTCAGCTTTTTATTAATAACACAACCCGAGAAGAAAAATATTAAAAATACACATGTACACCAGCCAGAAAGGTCATTGTTAAGAAGTCCTGAGTTAGAAAGGCACATAAGACTAAGGGTGAAAACAATCCCACATTGGTGGTCAGCATGGAGTCAGCCCCACCCCTCCGAATCTTCTAAGCTGATGCCTCTGGAAGGGGCAGATGGTTCTTGAAGTTGTGCCCATCCTGTGGTTCTTGAAGCTGTGTGCCCACCTAATGCCCTTCTTCCCACCCTCAATCTAACAACAAAGGGGGGCTTTATCTGTGCTCTGTTCTTCCTCCTGCAGATCCCAAGAAATAATTTTTGTTCTCAAAAGATCTGTTAAAAAGTTTCATTCTGGCCTCTTCCAGAGAAGCTGGGACTCCCAAGGATCTCTAGCCCAGGGGTCCCCAAACTTGGCGACTTGAAGACTTGAGAACTTCAACTCCCAGAATTCCCCAGCCAGCCAGCCGTGCCTGTTTCTTTTTTCTCTTAACCTCCTAAAGTGGAGAGATTGCAGAGGAAGGGAATACAAGAGAGTAAGCTGTGCTGGCTGGAGAATTCTGGGAGCTGAAGTCCACAAGTCTTAAAGTTGCCAAGTTTGGAGGCCTCTGCTCTAGCCACTTCAACCACAGCTGGAATCCCACCATCTCTGGGACAGACCAAAAGTTGCAGTGAGACACTTACAACTGAGATACTTCAATAGAGGAAAATGGGGCCTCCATTCCACCACCTTGGACTTTGTGAGTCCTTCAAGGATAAGGGTTGGATTGGTATTCCCCCTGCCCGCCTAGGGACCCTTGTCCCTCTGCAGAGCAAAAATTAAAAACTTTCCAAAAGCACCAGTGTTACTAAAAAAATATCTCAACAGACTTTTGTTGGGGCATCGTGGAAGGAAGCTGTAGCATTTCTGAAATACTGCATTTCAGACCAACTCTGATCTTTGCAAGTCGCCCTCTTCAGCCGAGGAAAGTATTCCCATCATATTTAGGATTGGTAAATCATATCTTCTCCTCTACAGCACCCAATAGTATTTTCTAGATAAGGAGGACATCTTCAGGGAGAGACAACTGAAGACCATGGGGGTGCCATAAGAGTTATTGAACAGTAAGGAGGAGAAGTTTTAAGTTTTCAAATTGTACGACAAGCAGTCTTAACATTTTGTCGCTTAGTGGGAAGGAAGATGTCCATCAGACATAGCAAAGGGATCTTCCAACTTGGCAAGTTTTAAGACTTGTAGACTTCCAACTCCCAGAATTCCTGAGCTAACATGACTGGAGGAGGAATTCTGGGAGTTGAAGTCCACAAGTCTTTTAAAGCTGCCAAAGTTTGAAGACCCCTGAGTTACGGTGTCTGTGTGTGGGCATATGAGTGCCAGTCCTCCCACAAAACTTCAGCTGGACTCTCACTGGTTATGTTTTTAGAACGGTGTTTCTGAAAACATGGCAACTTTCAGACAGGTGGACTTCAACTCCCAGAAATCCCCAGCCAGGAATTCTGGGAGTTGAAGAAGTCCGCCCATCTTAAAAGTTGCCAACTTTGAGAACTTTAGAACCATCCACGAATCAAACCATACAATACCATTTGCTGCTCTAAATATCACCCTTTTAGGTAATGAACCTTATCTCATTTTCTCCATTTATTTCTGCTGAAATTCCCAAAGACACATCTAAGGAACTGAATTGGGCAGGGGGGGTGGAAAAAGGGACACTTGGATCCCCAAAGGAATTCAAATTCTGCGACAAAATTAACCCAAGCAAATCCTTCTATTAAACCAAGTTTCCCCAATGTGGGCACCCTCTGCACTGGCTCAGGGTGATGGGAACTGTAGTGCTAGACATTTGTAGGGTGCTTGGCTAGGGACAATAGGAGTAAATCACCCCCATTCATGAGCTGGGGGGGCGGAGGGAGAGAGCAGAAAACAGAAGGTGATTACAACTTCCTGCAAAACACTGCATTATCTTGCAAATCACTGCAATCTAAAAAGGTAACTTTGACAATAGCCTCACTCTTGGATATGTAACATTTAAACAGGAAGATCCAACCTTTAAAACCTGTGGGAATTCTGAGAGTCAAAGTCTACCAGTCTTAAAAGTTGCTGAAGTTGAACACCCCGAAGACCGGTGGACTTCAACTCCCAGAATTCCCACAGGTCTTAAAACTTGCCAAGGTTGGACATTCCTAGTTTAAATAACCCTATCAGGGGCGCTCTCTTATCTTTCAGACCTATTCTTCCAAGGATCCCCAGCTATCCTCGCCAGAACCGAAGGGCTGAAGAAATGAAGATGTTCAATCAAAGCTAGAAATCCAACGTTTTCCCTGCCTGGAGTGGACTCCTCCACACTTGGTTTCACTCCCTCTTTTCTTAAACTAGTGCAAGCCAACTCATCTCAAAGAAGACCTTCTAAGTTCTAGCTGCATTTCCCGTTTCAGCCCCAGACAATCCCTAGCCGTTCCGTTTGTAGGATTCCACCTCACCTACGCTATCTGCATTATGGATCCATGGTTTTGTTTTTGTTTTTAAACAGCTCCAGAAGAAAAAGACTCTTTTCTGGTTGGAGATGCCCATCGTTTTGTTCAGCAGATGCCCAACACTCTTCCCTTCCTCGGGTCCATCCTTCTTAGCCCCTTGCTTCGTCTTCTTCCTCCATATAATGACAGGAAACATTCCCCACCCAAGGAGATTGAGAAGGGAAGGGAGGTTCCCACCCAAAATGCGATAAAATAGCCACACCAGCCCCTTCCTCAAAATGTCCGTAGAAGCCACCTAAACATCTCCTGTGCACACCGTCAGCCCAAAACACCCAACACATTGCCATGTTTCCCTTGGCGAGCTCCGTTGAGCAAGTGCCCCAGTGAGAAAAAGTCCTCTCTTTACGTCAGTCTGTAGTGAGAGCGCACGGCGGAAGAAGCAACATTTATTTCACCTCTTGCTAAAGGCTCCAAGCTTAGCCAAGCTTAGCCTGCTTTGAAACCTAGCCCAGGGTTCAAAGATGCCCTCAGAGGCCCAGGAAGCTCGGTGTCTTATCTTGTCCATGCTGCTCCCGGAGAATAGAGGACCCAGTAGACTTCCTTCAGCTCAGCCCTCGTTGGAAACCAGAGCCACCCCCATGCCTTCTACGCTGCCCAAAGTGCACCCAACTGGCAAGGAGGTTGAATGTTGCCCCTGAGGGTTTCACTGACACAACAAAAAGGCAAATGCAAACTGTGAAATTCACGGTCGGCCGAAACGGCTTGGAAGCATGGTTGAGAAATCATGCCATCTGGTCTTTTTCAACAGTAGGACCTCTGAGCATGTACAGAGGGAGGTGTGAGGGGTCCCCCGGGACAGCTTGGAGGCCAAGGCAAGTCCCTAGCAGGCCTGGCTGCCATCTCCCAAGCAAGGTTCTGTGTTAAGACTGTAAACGTTCCAGATATTGTGGCAGGGGGTTTTCCTTGACGTATTTCTGGATATACCAACACGTGAGGTGGGCTTTCAAATCTTCCTCCACCACAAAGTCCAAGGCGGCCTGAAAATAAAGAAAATAAAGACAATAAAATAAAGACAAACTAAAGAAAATAAACACAGTTAGTGTCTGAAATAGAGGTAATTCACAATTTGCAACCACAGTTGGCATTAGAAGTTCTGTTGCAAAGCAAGACGATGTTTGCATGAATCGTGCTAAGGTAAGTACCAAGGAAAAGAACCATAACGGATAAGAACTAGAACCCCTGGCTTAGGCCCAGGAGCCCAATATTCTCCAGCAATTCTGGCTTCTGCTAGCCAGGAAGCATAGTCCTTCTGCCCCAACCTCAGCTTCTGAAACATCCTAAATAATCCAACCCTGTTGGAGAAAGGTGTGACTCACCCTTGCCCAATCTTCTTCTTGGTCAAAACAAGCACATTAGCCAAACCTAAGCAAAAGTCACCTCAGGTCATGGTTTCCATCCAATGTTTAGAGCAGGAGTCGCCAACTTATTGGACCTCAGGGATTACCAAATAATTTTAAATCCTGCGGACCAGAGACCCTGGGAAAATCCCCCCCAAAAGTCTGCAGGAAAATCCCCCATCCCATTTTCCTACCAATCGATTGTTCTTTATTTGGGATCACAGGATACCGTCTCCAGCTCTGTTCTCAGGGAGAGAGAGAGACTTTTGGCTTCATGAAAGGAAAACAGCAGAAGTCTTTCTTTCTCTCCGGGCGGACTTTGGGGAGAGAAAGGAAGACTTTTGCTGCTTTCCTTGCGTGCAGCCAAAAGCAGAAGAAGAAAGAAGCGGAAAGAAGCAGCCCAGTGGCCAGGTGAGGCGAGCTGGGCAAGTTCCCCCCCCCCTGCCTTTTCCCCCATCCCCTCACTACCTTGTGCTGTTCACAATGCAAGTGACGCAGGCCAGGTGGGCGGCGCGGCCTTGTGTACCCGCGCAGCCTGGATTAATTCCTTTGGAGGTGACATTTCTTTGCAGACCATCAAATTTTTCTCATGGACCACCAGTGGTCCCTGGCCCGCTGGTTGGCGACCACTGGTTTAGAGGAGCTACACGTTCAGGAGGACCTCAGGTGGCAAACAAATGTTTCACTTAACAAATGTTTCATCTAACCAATGTTTCGCTTAAAAAAACGTTTCACTTAGCAACCTCAATTTTAGGTTCAACTGTGGTTGTAAGCCGAGGAACACCTGTATGTATTTAACAAGGAACGTGGGAGGTTGGAGACAACTGCTTAGGACTCTTTCAACAACGACACAACAACAACACGAGAAATGAAGGCCCTGAATCAACCTCCTAAAATCTAACTGCAGCATCAGCAGGAGGAGAGATAAAAGTGGGTTTTTTTTCCTCTCCTTTGTTTCCAAAAAAATGCTTTCTTTTTCACCTGGGGGAGAATTCCTTCCTGGCAGAAAAAAAAACCCCCTGCTTTTTATGTAGACCAAGGAAAACATTACAAAGAAGAACAGAGCAGACCAGAGAAGATAAAGAAAAACGGGATGCGGAGAAGAATCAAGACCATAACGGGGGAGGGAGGGGCTCTTAAGGCTGAGAATTTGCAATCCAAAGCCGCTTATCCATAAATTGCAGGTTGCAAAGCAAGTTCAATCCATCCCTTTGGAGTCCCCAGCTTGTAATCAGCTCTGTGCCGGTTTCTCCACGCTCATTAGCTAATTTAACGAACAAAGGCTGGAGGATAATAAAAAGAAATCAGTAGCGAAAGCCCGAAGAGGCAGTTTTAATGGGACCAGATGAAACGCTGCCCAACAACAGCTGTAAAGTCCCTGCCCATCCACCATTAAATCAAGAATTTTTCTTTTTCCCCCAGTGGGGTTGCACGGTATGTAAAACTTAGAATTAAGTGGGAAAGCTGAAAGGCCAGCATGCATCTCTGTCAAGAAGGGCAACCAGCGAATCCATACCTTGGCCAGGTGTTTTGCGATTCCTCTGCCCCTGTAGGTATCTGGGACTTCCGTGTGCTGAAGATCCACCACCCTCTTCCCTACGTATTCATACAACAGGACAGCTTTATCATGGCAGCCTGCAAGTGGAAAGAAAAACCATGTCTGTCACACGAGACACACCTCACATTTGGACTGCAACTCCATCATCCACAGCTAACTGTGTTCGCACATTACGGGCACTCCTTGACCTACGGCCATTCGTTTAGTGGCATTCCCCTCCGTTCGGTTATAAAAATCTATCCAAAGTGCCCCATTCAGGAGAAATTAAAAATAAGTTGGAATCTACTCTTAAGTGCCTCCTATCCTACTCTTTTCACTCGTAGGAGTGAATTTTCACTTGTAGGAGTTGGAAAGGTCTACTTGAGGTTGTAAAAAATGAGTTTTCTAGTCTTCTGTTCCAATGTCTCTTGACCTCAGTAACCTGAAGTTGTGTGGACCTCAACTCCTAGAATTCCCCAGCCAACATGAGAGTTGAAGCCCACACAGCTTCAAGTCACCAAGATTGAGAAATTGGTCTACTCTATGCAATAAGAAAAGAAAAATGCTCCACCGCCTTCTCAGATAAATCTCAGATCCTACTGTTCTTCGCAATGCTTCCCCAGTTACCAGTTCTAGGATGCCTCTCTCCTTGGTTCATTTCCATCCACTGTTCCTTGTCTTGCTTTTTGGTGCTTTGGAAAATAATTTGAGCCCCTCGTCTTTGTAGGAGCCCCTCAAATATTGGAACACTGCTGTCACGTCTCCCTGAATCGTGACTTTTAACCACGCCATGCAGGCATCCCAACTCTGGATAACTTTGGATAACTTTCCTAAACCCCAGCCAATAAACCCAAGCATCTGTTCTTCTCCCCCCACATCTCTGCCACCAAAATTCTCTGATCTTGTCTAAATACAACTAAAAGACACTATTCATACTCTTCGTCCATCTCTCTTCCCAACCGAAGAGAATTCAAGACGCCTTGACCAAAATCTTTTTAGCTGAAACAAAACCTTTGGAGAGAAACAAATCCCAAATGAACTTGATTTATAGCTCCGGCAGATTTCCTTCGCAATCCGTCACGATGGAACTATTTTAACCTTGTGCTATTTAAGGAAGCTTCATTTCTTTGGCTGTCCAGCCTGCAAAATTCATTCGCTCTTTACTTTCACCCATTGTCCAAAGACAGTAGATCATTCTCAGCCATGCCAGGCCCAGAGAAAGGAAAGCGATTCTGTGTATTTCTATTTTTCAGCCATTTTTGCAGCCATGTCTGTCTCTCTCTCTCTCTCCACTACGGGCCACGTTAATTTTTGAGTTTATTCACTTTAACGCAGCCTGCCGTTTGAATGAAACAAGCACACACTTTTAACAAAAGCCACCAACTTTTTAAAAGTCAAGAACAGGGGAAAACAAAGAGAGTTTGAAAGATACTAGCCTCACTCTTCCGCTGCTATATATGACATGTATTATATAACAATACCAGAAACTAGTCTGCAGTTCCTATTAAACCATGATTTAACTACAGAATACTTAAGGCCAGGGGGGACACAAATAGGCTAGGTTGATATATTTTGCTAAACCACTGTTTCCAAATGTGGAAACTTTTCAAGATGGGTGGACTTCAACTCCCAGAATTCCTCAGCCACTTCCTCTCTCTCTCTCTCTCTCTCTCTCCCTGAACTATAAATCAAGTTCGTTGGAGTTTGTTTCTCTCCAAAGGATTTTTTTGTTCTTTCAGCTAAAAGCTATGCCGGCTGGGGAATTCTGGGAGTTGAAGTCCACCCATCTGAAAAGTTTCCACTTGCTAACTTATCATGGGAAGGGCTTGGTTTAACTCAGTTCTGCAAATCCCAGCCTTTGCAAGTTATCCATCCTAGCTGGGCTCTCACCACAACCGAGCCAAGGGCAACAACAGGCCATGGTTGAGCAGAAGGGAAGGCTTCAGAGACCTTCGAACCATGCCAGCATGGCAGGCTTTCCAAGCCTCCCCAAATCAGTCAAAGCCAGACCCCACCACCAGCTGTCAATTCTTCACTGCAGGTTGGGATTGAATGAATCCACTCACCTTTTTTCTTTCAAGTCACCAAACCAGGAGACACAAGCCAGCCGTGCTTAACCGCCCACCCCTCCCCAAGAAATTCAGGGGGTCTCAAAGCCGAGCAGCACACCAGGATAAGAAGCTTCCAAGGCCGGATCGAGAGGAGGATATTCAGTTCCGTAGGAGCCCGGGGGCGCCCGGTTGCAAAAGCAGAAATCAAAGCTTCCAAGCCTTCTCGCCCCCCCCCCAACTCCCCTCTTTCTGCTCCGTTTTTTTTACTGAGGGGGTGGGAGAAAGAAAGGGAAAGTTGGAAGCTTAAGCGACCACTCTTGCTCGCCTGGGCAGCCCCCAGCCCGGCTGAGAGAGCCCCCCACCCCCAATTTCTGGGCTTAATCAAACCCCCCCACCCCACTCCACAGGGTTTGCATGCAACTCCCAACTCTCAGCACAGCAGCAACCAGGAAGTGGGGGGGGGGGCTCCTTCCCTGCCAGGTGGCGAACAAAAGATGCACCCCCCCACACACACACACATACATACCCTGCGCCTGCCTGCAGAGCCAGCCAGGCAGGGGAGGGGGCTCCAGCCTTTATCCAACCCGGCCCGGGCCCTTACCGTTCAAGCGGACGGTGAACTGCCTCCGCTTCCGATCGTGCTCCACCTGGATGGGGAAGCCACCGCCGCCGGCGCTGCCGGGCTCCAGCAGGTTGAGAGGGGCCGCCTGCGCCATGGAGGACCCCACACACACACCCTTTCCTTCCCTCCCTCCCTCCTTTCCTTTCTTCTTTCCTTCCCTCCTTCTTTCCTTCCTTCCCTCCTTCTTTCCTTCCTTCCCTTCTTTCCTTCCTTCCTTTCCTTCCTTCCCTCCCTCCTTCTTTCCTTCCTTCCCTCCCTCCTTCCTTCCTTCCCTCCCTCCTTCCTTTCCTTCCTTCCCTCCCTCCTTCCTTCTTTCCTTCCTTCCCTCCTTCTTTCCTTCCTTCCTTTCCTTCCTTCCCTCCCTCCCTTCTTTCCTTCCTTACCTCCCTCCCTCCTTCCTTCCTTCCTTCCCTCCCTCCTTCCTTACCTCCCTCCCTCCCTCCCTCCCTCCTTCCTTCCTTCCCTCCCTCCCTCCCTCCCTCCCTCCTTCTTTCCTTCCTTCCTTCCCTCCCTCCTTCTTCCCTTCCTTCCGCACCCCCCCGCCCGGCCGCTTCGCCTTTGTCCGCGCGTGGTGGGGAAGGACTCGTAGGGGAGCCCGAGGTGGGGTGAGGGAAAGGAGGGAGGGAGACCCCCTCCCCGCAATACGGATCAGTAAATCCAGGTGCGGGGAAGCGATCCGTGCGGGTCTCTCCGGCCAGGAAACTTCGTAATGGGGAAGAGTAGAGAAGGAAGAAGAAGAAGAAGAAAAGAAAGGAAGAAAGAAAGAAAGAAAGAAAGGAACCTCTCCGGCCGCCGAGCCCGCACTCGGCAGCAGCAGCAGCAGCAGCAGCAGCGAACAGATCAAAGGCCAGGGATAAAAGCGAAGAAATCAGCTGTGGGGTCACGTGGCCGTCGGGCGGCCAATGGGAGGCCCCGCGCTTTTGTTTTGATACATTCCGTTCGACTCTTAAAGGAGACGCGCTGCCCTTCCTGGTTTCTGTTCTTTGGGGCTCGCTTCTCGGGGGGCTTTGGGGTGGGGGGCTGGGGCTTGAAAAGCGGGGGTGGGGAGTGTTTCCTCCGAGGTAGGTAGGGGGAATGAGGATTTGGGTTTTGCTTTTTTTTAGGTTTTTTTTGTTTTTGTTTTTTTTTAAATAATTTATATGTCAAGTCTCTGTTTGTAGGTTTCAGTGGTTTTAAGGGATTGCATGGATGATGTTAGCTAGTTTGGTAATAAAACGTCTTGTAAGGAAAGCATCAAGCTCACAGGACACCAAGGACTCTACATTCCTCCTTCTCCTCCTCTCTGCAAAATCCACTCCCTTCTAGCACTGATGATATTACCTAGTTTGGTCATGAAATGTTTGCAAGAAAACAGCCAAGCTCAGAGAACACCAGGGACCCCACAGTTGTTGTTGTTGTTGTTGTTGTTGTTGTTCTTCTTCTTCTTCTTCTTCTTCTTCTTCTTCTTCTTCTTCTTCTTCCTCCTCCTCCTCCTCCTCCTCCCCCCTCCTCCTCCTCCTCCTCCTTTTCTCCTTCTCCTTCCTTCTCCTTCCTCTTCCTCTTCCTCTTCTTCTCCCTCTTCCTTCTCTTTTTCTTCTCCTTCTCCTTCCTCCTCCTTCCTTGTCCTTCTTCCTCTCCTCCTCCTCCTCTTCCTTCCTCCTCCTCCTCTTCCTCTCCACAAACACCATTTCCTTTTAGCGCTGATGATGTTACCTAGCTTGATAATAAAATGCCTGCAATAAAACCACCAAGTTCAGAGGGCACCAAGGACCTCTGGCAGGAATTCTGGGAACTGAAGTCCAAAGTGCTGACAAGGAATTTTGGGAGCCGAAGACAAACATCTTAAATTTGCCAAGGATGCAAAATGCTGGTCTTGGGGATGGTTTGTCCAAACGTTAGGTTCGTCTTTTTAATGTTTTCTGTCTTGAAGGGTAAGCCACCCAGACTTATTCAAACAACTATTAACATGAAATCATAATAGTAACAATAATATCAATAACAACAACAAATACAACAACATTCCTCTAAATCCAACGCCAGGTGATAAGAACAGGGACAAAACTAAGCCCAGCCATCTCATTATGAAGTCTGGCCTCTAAAATGAAATGATAGTAGCGAAAGTCCTACCTGCTCTAAACCGAGTTGAATTTTTAATGGATTTATTTCATTTAGTATTACGTTTATCTGCCGCCCATCTCTTTCCAACTCCAGGTGATGACAGCACAAACACAACTGTCTCATTTTCTGGGCAGCAACCTGGAATCAGTATGTTCCTGTTGTTTGGGAGAAATTTTTCTTTTGAAATTTCCCTATCGAAGCTATGGGCTTTGAATGTTTGGGCAATTAACCAGCTCTAATCTCGCTTAGCTTGTTTCAAGATGAGCCAAAACTTGGTTAGGTGCTGCTGTCAGAAAGGGGTGTGGGGCAGGGGAACCAGCTACTCTAAAATTGAAAACAAAGGGAGGGAAGAACTGGGGCAGGCAACGGAAAGGAAGGAAAACAGGGACGTTTGTGGAGATTATTATAGTATCCGCTCCTTGAACAGATTGGGATTTGTTTTTGGTTTTTTTGAATAAATTTTATTGAATTTACAATTAAAAACATATCGACATTACATATACAACAGGGGGAGAAAAAGAAAAAAGAAAAAAAGAAAAAAAACGCTCGGTCTTGCGAACCGAAAAAAGAAGAGAAAAAGAGATATAAAAGAAAGAAAGAAACAAAGAAACGGAAGAGAAAAGAAAATACATTTAAAAACAGACAGATATCCTTTTTGACAGTCTGCAAGATCCAATTCTCCTACCTTACTTTAAATACACACATCTTATCAATATCTATGCTTAAATTACCCATTGTTCATTAAACAGTTTATCTCTGAAATAACCAATTATACCACAAATTCCAATTATCATAAAATGTTGAAGACTCTTTATTTTTAAGTGCTATAGTTAATTTGTCCATTTCTGCACAGTCACATATTTTCTGGATGACCATTTGTTCTGTAGGTATATAGGATGATTTCCAGCACTGGGCAAATGCTAATCTGGCCGCAGTTAGAATATGAATTGTTACATATTTCATCTTTTTAGGTAAATGTTTATCAGAGATCCCTAGTAGGAACTGGGGCAGGCAACGGAAAGGAAGGAAAACATGGACGTTTGTGGAGATTATTATAGTATCCGCTCCTTGAACAGATTGGGTTTTGAATGCTCTGAGCATTTGTCAGGAAATATGGCCTGCCCTGGTACCATTGTATGAGTTCCTGCCAGAGATTAACTGAAAGAAACACAAAGATTAGAAAATATGACTCATCCCCGCCACTGAGGCTAAGAAGCAAATCCCAGAATTAGCAAGGCAAAAAGCTCCGTTGAATTTTTTCCCCTCTACCTCTTGAATTTGCTTTTTATTGATTCTGTGACTTATACAGCTACCGTAATAATCACAGGGGACAGAGTTGCATGGTCCACCTGGCCACAAATGAGTCTCAAAAGCCATTTTGTCTTCTTGATGATCTGAGCTGGACTTGGGAGACGAAAGAGAAAAGTGGAGGGAGAGGGAGAGAGAAAGATGGAGAGAGAGAGATGAGAGAGGGAGAAAGAGAGAGATGGGGAACAGAGATGGGAGAGAGAGAGAGAGAAAGATGGGAAAGGGTGGGAGAGGGAGGGAGGGAAAGAGAGATGAGAGAGGGAGAGAGATGGGAGGGAGAGAGAGGGGGGGAAGAGGGAAAGAGAGATGGAAGACAGAGGGGAGAGGGAGAAAAAAAATGGGGGAGGGAGGGAGGGAGGGAAAGAGAGAGATTTCCAACTTTTTTCCAGTGTGGGTAAAACATATATTAAAAAAATACAATCTCAGCTTTTTGCTTTATACCTCACAACATACACTTCGGGCCTTTTTTGTAATAACAAAAGCTTTCCAATCATCAAAACCGGAAATGAAAGTTTCGCTGCTTTTTGGGTTTTTTTTAGTTTCGAGCCATAAGTCCAGAAGAAGCGGTTTCCAAGTAGAAACAAAACTAGCCGAGAGTTCTTCTCTTGAAATAAAACCGCCTTTTTTTTTTTCGCCATCTCCACCAGTTCCATCATCTTCATTGTCCTCTCTTCCATCGTGGGAAACTTCTAGAATGCAGAATAACAAGAGTTGGAAGGGACCTTGGAGGTCTTCTAGCCCCCCCCCACCCCCCCCCCCCCGGCCCTACTCCAGCCTATACCATTTCAGACCAATCTCTTCTTGGAAAAACGCCAGTCCACAACTTCTGGAGGCGAGCTGTTCCACAGCTTAAAAGGAAAAAATCCTTCTCCCATCGCCCATTCCAGGAAGAAATTAGCATGACGCTCTCCCACGATGCGTTCTGTACATGCTTCAGGAATTCCATCAGAAAGAATGCCAGGAATGAAAGTGGGTGGAGGGAGATAGTCTGTAGTATCTGCCTGCTGTTTACTTAGGCAATTCGTCGCTTCTTCAGGCCACCAGAATCGAACAGGCCTGGAAAGCCAAATTTCCATTCCCTCTGCACTCCTGGGCGGGGGGGAAAGGTTACCGCTGGTTCTCCGAACTCCTCCAAATTTCCGCTACCAAGTTCTCCAGAACTGGTCAGAACCGGCTGAATCCCCCCACCTCCCTCAAGGGTCTCCGCGGTGACTACAAATCAATAAAAAGTCATCAAAAAGGAAATCCTTCCCGTAAGTAGCGTGTGATGTACTTCCAGATCAAATTCAATGGGTGGATTCTGTCATTTATTCAACGGTCAGTAGGGGGCAGCATGGGCCCGTCAGAAAAAAAATTGCACAATGATAAAGTCACCTTTGCTAGATAGAATTTCCCATCTATTTGCTCAGAGCTTTAATTAAAAAGAAAGGGGGGGGGGACAAAAAGGAATTTTGACTTTTTTTGCCTTTGCAGTAAAGATCCCGATTCCCATCCTGAGTAGGCTGGGAACCCTAAGTCAGCAGGCATATCCCTGGCCCTACAGCAGAGGGATGTGGGCTCCAGTTAGGATCTTCATTACGGAAGCCGCTTCTTAGTTCTTCATCTGTTGTACCTGTTGGAAAACGGCCTGTGAGAATAGCCCAGAATGGTGTGTTCGGACGGAGCAATAACAGAAATCTCAAGGGGTGTGTGTGGCATCAAGAGGAATTTCTAGTGGAATGGA